AAAATGATGGAGGCACCTGGCTGTTTCAGTCGGTAGAGCACAGAGCAGATAGAGCACAGAGCACGTGACTCTTGATCTCAGGATCATGAGTTCAAGCCCCTCATTAGGCTTAGAGCTTACTTAAAAAAGTAAAATGTGTGCATTTAAAAAAAAAAATGGAGGCTGTCTTTGCGTGATATAATTGTTCTCTCATTGGTTTTCCACATTTTCTATAACAATCTGCTATCGTTGTTTGTACTTAAGGTAAAATAAATTATTTTTAAGTAGAATGAGCATGGTTTTGAACCTGGGTCACTTTAAAGCCTCCTGACAATTAACAGACATTTAAAAAGTAAGATGAGGTAAAGGAATTAGTTGAAAGGAAGGGAGACAGTATTGAGTTTTCATGTAGAAGGATGGAGATTGAGGTCTTAGATGAGCTACATGAAATGGTGTTCAGGCTATTGAAAATTAATACTAGTTGTTTGGGAGTAAAGAATATAGATTTAGAATTGAGTGTCTTCTGCATGGAGTTGGTAACTAAAAACAAGATAAGGCAGAGATGAGAAATCCAAGGAAAATATTTTAGATTATAGAAAAATTAGAATTAAAGTCACAGCACCCATTTGGAGAATGCCTGTGTTTAAAGCGAGTGAAAAGAAGTGGCCTATAAAGCAAATAGAAAAAGCAGAGAAGAGAACTGAGATAATACTGTCAGGGATGCCAAGAGAAGATTTCAAGGGGAGGAGGTAATCAGTCATGTGACATGCTGCAAAGAGGTAAAGCAAATAGAACACTAAGAGAGGCTGTTGAATTTGAGAGTACTAATGATTTTCAGAAATACTGTTTTAGTGAAATGGTCAGGGTAGACGTCAGACTGCTGGGAGTAATTGAGTCTTTTGCTAAGGAAGTAGAGAGACAGTGGGTGTCTGTCACTAATTTGAAAAATGTGGCTGAGAAAGAAAGGAAAATATTAGGAAAGTAACTGGAAGGATAACAGAATTAAGATAAAGAACGCCTGTACCAGGAGCCCTTAGAAAGTCAGAGAGTGGAGATAGAGGGGTAATGGAGTGCTCGAGGTCACACAGGAAATAGAGATGATGAAATGGTAATTTTCAACTAGAACAGACTTCAGCAGTCATCTTGTTTTGTAACATCTTTTCTCAGGATTATATAAGCCTCATTTTACAGATGGACCTGTGTAAATTGAGACTTAAAGAAGTTAATTGATTTGTCCAGAGTCCCAGCTCTTTAGATTATGGATCAAAGGGGTGGAAGGGATTTGTCTTATGTACTAGGGGCTGTCCTACCCCTCTTTCTCTGAGATTGGAAACAGAAAGGAAGGCAAAATAAATGAACAGATGTGTTGAGATAGTGATAATTGGATGTTTCTTTTAAGGTAGAACATTTTATGTACCACCGAGTGTGCCAGAGAGGCTAAAAATCACATTTGAATATTCAGTTCTCCTTGCTTTAAGAGTGAGGAAAATGATAGTTAGAATGTTTTGGTTGAAGCATTTAAAAACTCTCTCTTCAGAACCAGATATAACTCCCTTATTATATCAAAGCAAAACCCCTGACTTTTGCAGCATCCAGTTCACTAATATCCCTACCTAATACATCTTTCACTTATTGGTGTTCCCAACTTCATGCCCCAAATGTCAGTAAGCTGAAGCCCTTTTTTTAAGTACTGCTCCAGTGTCAAGCTCTACTGCCGTTTAGCTAGCTTCTGTACCAGAGGTACACAATGCTGATTTTCCTTGCCGAAACAAATGCTGCAAACGTGGACCGTGCATTTCATCACCAGTTACGAGTTTCTCTCCAGGTGCCAGTTGCAGCAATGAGATACAGGTCTTTGTAGTCACTTCACCTCCACTCCAGTCATTTGAGGACCCCTTTCAAAGACAGATTATCAATGAAGTCAAGAAATCTCACCCAAGTTCCAAGTATGTTCAACGGTGACTCTCAACAAGGACTTCTCACACATACCCTCTTCACACACCCATTTTTTTTAAACGCCAAAGAATGCAGTCTATACTCCAGCATATCCTTTTAAGAAGGTTCCCCTTACCAATATTCCAGAATGGCACAACCTCTTAAATTTTGTTGTCTTTCCTTTTGTTAAAGACTGGGGCATTAAGTTAAAGATGATTTATCTTCTTCGCTAATATTTAGAATCTCTTCTGTGGTAATATCTGTTGTAAAGTAAACCAAATCATGGCTTTGAAAGCTTTCCCAGTGTGCATTTCAGAAATCATTTTCTGCTACTCTAAATAAAGAACCAGAAAATGAAGTTGGCTCTCCTAATTCCATAGTAGTCAGAAGCAAATAGTTAATTCTGTTAGGATTGGCTAAGCTGTGGAGCAAGCAGAAAGGCTAAAAACAGTAATAGACTCTGCTAAAGGTATGGTAAGTCTGTGGACTTTCTACAAGTCCCCAGTACCTCAGTATGTTAGGTCATATAAATATATCCATTTCAACAGCAACATAGGTAGTAGTCTAGGGTCACTGCTTATCAAGATTTTTTTTTTTAAAGATTTTATTCCTTTATTTGAGAGAGAGAGAATGCGCGTGCAAGAGAGAGCAGGGGGAGGGGCAGAGGGAGAGGGAGAAGCAGACTCCCCGCTGAGCAGGGAGCCCAACACGGGGCTCGATCCCAGGACTCTGAGATCACAACCTGAGCCACAGGCAGACGCTTAACTGACTGACCCCTCAAATTTTCATGTGCATAAGAATCTCTTGAACATCAGAATCAGATTCGGATTCAGAGGCCTAGAGTGGGAGGGGTTTGGGTGGTTATGCTGAGATTCAGCATTTCTTTTTTTTTTTAAAGATTTTATCCATTTATTTGAGAGAGAGAGAATGAGAAAGAACACATGAGAGGGGGGAGTGTCAGAGGGAGAAGCAGACTCCCCGCCGAGCAGGGAGCCCGATGCGGGACTCGATCCAGGGACTCCAGGATCATGACCTGAGCCGAAGGCAGTCGCTTAACCAACTGAGCCACCCAGGCGCCCCTGAGATTCAGCATTTCTAACAAACTCCCAGGTAGTACTACTGATCCCCAGACTTTGACTAGAGAGGTTCTGGGTGGTAAATAGCATCTAATATGACCTTGCCCTCAGGCTCTAGAATGTGGCTGCAACAGTGACTGCTTAGAGCTATGCCTAGCAAGTTTGTTTTTTGTAAAGGGCCAGGTGTGAAGAGTAAATATTTTGCACTTTGTGGCCATTAGCCATATTCTTCTTGATTTGTTTCTATGCTTGCTTTTACAATTAAAAAAAAATTTTTTTAACCGTTTTAGCTCTGAGGTATACTCTCAGCCTCAAGCAAGAAGCTAAAGTCATATCCATTGGGCTTGTCAAATTAGCCCATGGCTCTCAGCCCCGACATTGATAGAAGTCCCTTATTTCATCAGGCCTCTTGGGATGACTACAGAGGAATCGTAAGGATTCCAATTCCAAAAGCAATAAAGGAACTTTGTAAGAAGAAGATCTCTATGTTTATTGGAGGGAGGGGAGATAAAATTATATGGAAGAAAACTACCTTTTTATTTGATGCCATAATAAATGAAAACTAAAGCTATTCATATTTAGATCATAAGTAAGATCTGAGTAGAACTTTACCGTGGACCCAGGATACATTTGACCTATTTTAATTTATGTGATCAGCCTATTCTGTGTGGCGGTACAATATCCAGTTACGGTTATAAGAAATTGGTCCAACTTGGGTGTGAATCCCAGTTCTTCTGCTTAATAGGTGGGTAGCTTTGGTTAAGTTACTTAACTTTTCTGAGACATCATAATGTCCCTGGGGTTGTTTATAAATAAGTGTGTGTATTTGAAATACTTAACATAGTGCTTGGAACTTAGAAGACAATAAATGGTGGCTGTTACTATGTTATTATGGTCATGACTGAATTGTATAAAAGAATCAGCTCCATGACTAATTGTCAGGATATTCTTTAAGGTAGATTATGTCCTAGATTATGGTCCTCATGGCATTTATGTCCTTCCTAATGTCTCTGCAGACATAATGGGGAAATTTGAACCGACAGCCTTTAGTAACAACATATTAAATTTTGCAAAACCATCAGAAACCTCAGTAGTAAACAAGTCAAGTCACTCTTCCATGTTTTGTTTTGTTTTGTTTTTACTCTTTCATGTATTTTTTTTTTCTTTCATGTATTTTTAAGGTGAGATTTCTTTGGGCAAAATCCCACCTTTAAAAATTGAAAGATTGGGACACCTGGGTGGCTCAGTCGTTGAGCGTCTGCCTTCGGCTCAGGTCATGATCCCAGAGTCCTGGGATCGAGCCCCGCATCAGGCTCCCTGCTCAGCAGGAAGCCTGCTTCTCCCTCTCCCACTCCCTCTGCTTGTGTTCCCTCTCTTGCTGTCTCTCTCTCTGTCAAATAAATAAAATCTTAAAATAAATAAATAAATAAAAATTGAAAGATTGTTTGATATAGTGTCTTCCCAGCTTGGTTATTAGTGCTTATTCTCATCACTTATTTTGAGGAATGTTGGAAACAGTTTTGCTTCAGTGATTTGCTCATCCTAATTTCAGTTCAGTGTTGGACTGGATAATGAGGATACAAATGAAAACTTTTGTCTGCCATGTCAGGCATTCAGGCATTAGTGGTAAAAGTAACAGTATCAGCAGTGTTCTTGTTTAAGAAAATTTATGGAAATTTATAAAATCTAAAGCATTGAGTAACCATAAAATGTTTTTATTTTTAAGTAAAACTTTATTTTTTTGATTGGACAGAATGTTTAAGTATTTCTTTTTAAAGTAATAAATTGGCTTTTGTTGTTATTGTTTTTAACCAAAGGAAATCATCCTAATAAACAAGACTTGCCGTCTTAAAATCAAAAGCCACTGGTATCTAAATAATTTTTGTCATTGCAAGTACTTACTTTTATGTTTTTGTTGTGTTTCATTATATTGTTAATTTTTTCAAATATGTGGCATGAAATAACTTGTTTAAATCTGTGGTTGCAAATTTTTGAAAAAATCTTTTTTAGCTTTTAGTAAAACATGGAGGAGACTTGTTTGCTGAGAATGAAAATAAAGACACTCCTTGTGATTGTGCTGAAAAGCAACACCATAAAGATTTGGCTCTCAATCTAGAATCACAAATGGTATTCTCACGAGATCCTGAAGCTGAAGAAATAGAAGCTGAATATGCTGCATTAGACAAACGAGAGGTAAGGTTTTATTTGTTTTTTTTTTAATAAAAAAATTATATGGATTTTTTTCTTTTCATAAGTACTAATCTTATTATATGGCTTTCATGTTAAATTTTATTTTTCTACTTTAGAATCCAATTCATGTGGTCTTTGCAGTGTGCTTAATTAACACCCTGTCATCTACATAGCCATGATATGAAAATACAGGTAGAAAACCTAGAAATGGTAACTGTCCTCTAACATATGTAAATATGTTTACTTATTTATTTATTTATTTTTAATTATTTGAGAGAGAACCCCGTGCACAGGGTAGGGGGAGGGGCAGAGGGAGAGAGAAATTGAAGTAGACTCCGCGCTGAGCGTGGCACCCTACACAGGGCTCAATCTCACGACCCTGAGATCTGACCTGAGCCGAAACCAAGAGTTGGACGCTTAAGTGCCACCGAGGCATCCCTGTTTACTTACATTTCAATAGAGAGGCTGATGTGTGCGAAACATTGTTCCCTTAGCTTCTGGGACATTGTTCTTTGGTTTCCTTTGGGTCTTTCTTGTTTCAATAAATAGTACCTCCGTACTGAGTTGCTCAAGCATAAATGGTCAAGCTTTCTTGATTCCTCACTTCTTATGTCCAGACAATCTGGGAATCTTGTCAGTTTTACCTCCAGAAGTATAATCTAGATCCATTTACTCTTCCTGGTCTCTACTCCTACCTTCCAAGGCCCTCTCCATCTGAGTTTCCTAACTGGCCTCCTTCTTTCTGTTTTGGTCCCCTTAGAATCCATTTTGTACACATAAGCCAGAGAGACATTTTTAAACTTAAATTAGATCATATAAATCACTTAAATTACTCAGTGACTTTTCATTGTACTTAGAATAAAATGCAAACTGTTTGCTCAGATACAAGACCTTATATGGTCTCACCACTACCTACCTCTCCCAACATCATCTCAGATCTTTCTCCCCAGCTCATTTTGCTCTGATTATAATACGTAGAGTACACTGAGGCTTTTGCATTTGCTGTTTCCTATATCAGAAATCTTCTCCCAGTTTTTCTCTTGGCTGGCTCAGTAGTTCTTCAGAGAGGCAATCTTGGACTATTCTTTCACAAATAGGTCCCTCTCCTTCTATTATTCTTTACCATAATACCCTGTCTATTTTTTATAACACTTAACACATGCTATAATTATTTTATGTATTTATTCATTTTTTACTTTTCTTTCCTATTAGACTATCAACTCCATGAGGGCCAGAATCATAACTGCCTTAATCAACAGAGTATTTTCAGTGTCTGACACAGTGGACATCCATAGAAGTATTAAGTAAATTATAAGACACAATAAATGTTTTCCTCCCCAAATTATTCTGGTTCCTCCATGTTCAATGCCAACTTGATTCTAAAAGGACTTATACTAACTATTGTTTCTATGTGTTCAGAAAAATAATTGTATTGTTTGGGTTTTTTCCCCAAGAATTCCCAACAGTTTTTGAACTTATGTATTCCAGATTGTTAAAGGAACTGAGTTTCTTGGAATTCAGAAATTTATATTTCTTTACCCTTTGTGTTTCTTAGGTTAGGTTATTTTATGGGAATGCTTATTCAGATTAAGTACACATAGAAAGGGAGGCAGATGTCCTAAGCACTTTCACATGGTTGTTGAATCTACACAGTAACAGTCAATAACAGTTATGCTCCCTTCTTTTTTTAAGTGAGGAAGATAAATCAGAAAATAGTTGAATAATGTACCAGGATCAAAGTGAGCTAAACCTGATTCTTCTGACTTCTCTATTTGCTATACTGCCTACCTTTTCATAATCCATCATCTTGAGTCAGACATAAAAACTATTACTGTAATAATATAATAATTTAGTCAGAAGACAACATTTGATCAATAATATTCTAGAAATAATGTGATGTGATTAAATTGAAAGACATTTGTGACTATATTCAGGCTTTTTTATCAAAGATACTATCTTAACATAAGTAAATCAGAAAATAATAGTATTCGTTTTCAATTGATTGAAGATCTAAATGAACTTAATATAACTATAATAAACTATTGAGTTAAAAAGAAGTTACAGAATAGTTTGATAAGACTAGTATGTATTGAGAGAAAATTGAAGTATACCAAAATGGTAATCATGGTTATGGATAATTTTTTTACCATTATTATTTTTTCTATTTGCATGCATTTCTTAAAAGTTATAATGAGCATTTATTGCTAAAAAAATATAAAAAATTTCCTCCTTTCTGACTCTACCCCCACAGTGGTAACAGTTTCTTGTGTGTGCTACCAGACTTAAGCAAACATATGTGATATAGAATGTTGAATGCAAAAGTAAGGTCATATAGTATATTGAGTTCTGCTAAAATATTTTTAAATTTTTTTTAATTGAAGTATAGTTGACACACAGTGTTACATTAGTTTCAGTTCTACAAAATAGTGATTCAACAAGTTTATGTATTAGGCTGTGCTCACTACAAATATATGGTCACCATAAATTGCTACCATGTCACCATACAATGCTATTATAATACCATTGACTTGATTCCCTATACTGTACCTTTTATTCCTGTGACTTATTCATTCCACAACTGGAAGCCTATTCCTCCCACTCCCCTTCACCCATTTTGCCCACCGCCCCCCCAACATCCCTCCCTCTGGCAACCATTAGTTCTCTGTATTTATGGGTATTTTTCTGCTTTTTGTTTGTTTATTCATTTGGGCTTTTTTTTAGATTCCACATATAAGTGAAATCATGATATTTGTCTTTCTCTGTCAGACTTATTTCACTTAGCGTAATACCCTCTAGATCCATCAAAGTTGTTATAAATTGCAAGAGCTCATCCTTTTTTACAGCTGAGTAATATTCCATCAGGTATGTATATGTACACCACATCTTTACCCATTCATCTATCAGTGGGCACTTGGGTTGCTTCCATATCTTGGCTATTGTAAGTAATGCTGTAGTAAACATAGGGGTACATATATCTTTTCAAATTAGTGTTTTTGAGTTCTTTAGGTAAATACCCAGTAGTGGAATTACTGGGTCATATGGTATTTCTATTTTTAATTTTTTGAGGAACCTCCATACTGTTTTCCACAGTGGCTGCACCAATTTACATTCCTACAAACAGTGCACGAGGCTTCCTTTTTCTCCACATCCTCACCAACTCTAAAATAGTTTTTCAACTTAACAATATATCATTAACATCTTTCCTAAGTCAGAACATGTGATCTACATATTTTAGCCATTTACTGACGAATTTAGATATTTTTTATTATTAAAAACAAGGCTAAAGTGAATATCTACTTGTTACATACATATCTTTATCCAGTTGTGTGATTATTCTGGTTTAAAACATGGATCTAAAGCCACACTGACTGGATTCATATCTTACCCCCATGACTGACTTATTATATGACCTTGAGTAGTTTATTCAGTCTCTCTGCTTCAGTTTCTTCTTCCTTAAAATGGAGATTATAATGGTCCCTACTTTGTACAGAGTTGTAGTGATCCTTAAATGAGTTAATATATGTAAATACTTAGAACAGTACCTGGGTCATTATGTGTGTTATCTAAATGTATGCTATTATAATCATGATCATCATTATTGTTAATGGATGTGTATACACACTTTAAAAGTATATTCTCTATAAATGTGTAGAAATTGGTTTGATGGATCTTGAAATATATACATTTAAGATGCTGTTAAACTGTCCTAAAAGATTATATCAATTTATTTTCTTCTAGTAGCTTATTAAAGAATATTAAATATTAAGATATTAAAGAATATTAAGAATATAAATATTAAGAATATTAAAGAATTTCCTCACATTTCTGCTAGCATTAGATATTATCATTGTTTTTATTTTTTGCTAGTTTAGACAAATGGTACCTATTTGAATTTATTTATTTGATTATTCTGTGAATTGATTATTTATTTGCTTTTTTCCCTATGGATTGTGTTTTCTTAATGCTTTCCAAGAAAACTTTGTGTATTTTTCTGTATCCTACATTTTTCACTTAGGATATTCACAGATGTAAATTTTTCTTTCTCTATGGCTTCTGAATTTTTTTCATGTTAATATTATAATATATGCCCCTATATTTTTTCTAGTTTTATAGTTTTGTTTTAATCCATATTAGATTATTTTAGTCTATTATTTCAAAATGTAAAAAACAATACTTTTGTAACTACTTACACACAAATGTTTATAGCAGCACTATTCATAATAACCAAAAGTTGAAGACAACCCAAATCTCTATCAACAAATGACTGGATAAATAGTGTGTGGTATACATATACAGTGGTATATTACTCAGTCATAAAAAGGAAAGAAGTACTAACACATGCTACAATATGGGTCAATCTCAGAAACATTGTGCTATGTAAAAGAAGGCAGACAAAAAGGTCACATGTTAAGTAACTCCATTTATATGAAATATCCAGACTAGGTAAATCCATAGAGACAGAAAGCACACTAGTGTTTGCCAGTGTCAGGGAGGAGGAATGACTAGGGAGTGACTCCTTAATGGGTATGGAGTTTTATTTTGGGATGGTAAGAATGTTTGGGAATTAGATACATATGGTGGTTGTACAACACTGTTGAACTGAATTGTACATTTTAAAATTGGGTTTTTTGGGGGGCGCCTCGGTGGCTCAGATGGTTAAGCGTCTGCCTTCGGCTCAGGTCATGATCCCAGGGTCCTGGGATCGAGCCCCGCATCGGGCTCCCTGCTTGGCTCTCTGTCAAATAAATAAATAAAATAAAATCTTAATATATTATAAATAAATATAATATAAAATAATATATTATTATTTTATAATATAAAATATTATATATTTATATTAAAATTATAATATTATATAAAATATAATATTATTTTATAATATAAAATAAATAAATAAAATCTTAATAAAATAAAATAAAATTGGGTTTTTTGGGGGCGCCTGGGTGGCTCAGTTGGTTAAGTGACTGCCTTCGGCTCAGGTCATGATCCCGGGGTCCTGGGATGGAGCCCCGCATCGGGCTCCCTGATCACCGGGAAGCCTGCTTCTCCCTCTCCCACTCCCCCTGCTTGTGTTCTCTCTCATGCTGTCTCTCTCTCTCTCTGTCAATTAAATAAATAAATAAAATCTTTAAAAAATAAATAAAATAGGGTTTTTTTTAAAAAATGTTATTTATTTGAGAGAGAGAGAGAGGGAAAGCACAAGTGGGGGTGGGGAAGCAGAGGGGGAGGGAGAAGCAGACTCCCCGCTGAGCAGGGAGCCCAACATGGGGCTCTATCCCAGGACCCTGAGCTCATGACCTGAGCCGAAGGCAGATGCTTAAATGACTCCGCCACCTAGGCACCCCTAAAATTGTTATTTTTAAGTAATGTGTGTTTCATAACAATTTAAAAAAATAATACCAAAAAACAATGCTTTCTTTAAAATTCATTTTATACCTTCTGCTTTGACCCTAATCAACTTTTGGATTATCCTGCCTATGCTAATAGTTTTACATGGCCTGCTATGTAATTGTATTAAACTACATAATTAGGTAGTTTAAAAGATTCATATTCCCGAGGTGTCTATTTTAATTAAGTTTCTCAATTCAGTTAATGATCTGGACACTGTATAATATTATATCTCTATAATTTCTTCTTGATACATTTTAATTCTTTCCTTCAGATTAGTTTATAAATGGATAAAATCTATTTCTTCATCCCATCACTGAACAAAACTCTTGAGTGACTGACTGCTCTGCCAGACACTGTTTTAGGAGCTTGAGGATACAGTGAAGAACAAAAATAAGCCCCTGCCCTCTAGGTGCTTATGTTCTAGCATCGATATAGACGCACATAAATAAGGTTAAAAAGTAAATACAATTTGTGAGAGTGGTAACTGCTATAAGGAAATAAAAACAAGGTGATGTGTTGGAGTGATGGCTGGGAAGAGTGTATTTAATTTACATAAACCTTTACAGACAGAACAGAGAAACTAGTGAGTGTTGGACCTAGTTGGGGTCAGGCTCTGTAGGAGTAGACTGTGTGACTGTATGTGGGTAAATGAAGGGAAGACAAACAATATGTTGCTCTGAAAGCCATCGAAAGAATTCCCGCCTCCCAGTTCCTCTCCCAGTTTATAACTCAGGAAAACTCAGGCTCTTTTTCTGACAGGGAACGCATATGGTGGACATGGCCTTAGCTGGCTTCCCTGGTGTGCAGGTCTAGCCTACTGTGCGAGAGCAGCTGCCTTCCTCTTAGATCAAAGTACAGATCAGGGTGGACCAGGCCTTAAGTCCAGGGGAGAGCAGCTGAGTAAGAAGAGAGGAAACTGAAAGAAGGGGAAAGGTCTGAGAATCCTAAGACTTTCTCTTCCAGGCTAAGCTCATGGATCAGCTAATGAGAGATTGATATTAGGAGGAATTGGAAATAATTCTCTTTGTTCCAAGTGCCTTTCACATCTTCTAAAATTAAAGCAATTACTAATACATTTAGGTAAATGAGTACCTGTTTTTCGTTTTTTAACAATAAGTATGTTTTACCTATATAATTGGGGAAAGCTGTTTTCATTGTGGAAAGAAATAAAAACAAATTCTTCTTTCATAAATACTTTGTCATAGTCTTTTCTGAAAGTTTTTGAAGATGCTATCACTTTATACATGATAGTCAAAGAGGTACAGTTTTTATATTGGGATCTTTCACATTTTTTCAGTGATATTTTTTCAGTGGTATTTTGGTAGCAGAAGTATGCACGGATGCAAAAGAGGTACTTTTATTTGCTCTTACCTTTTTAAATTAGTTTCCGTTTTCTTTCTATGTATCAGTACTGACTGCTTTGAAGGTTATTGCTAGATTGTGTTTAATCTGAAAATAGAAGCAGTTTATCTTTGCAACAAGAAAGAGAAAGGCACCTTCATTTTAATCCTTCTTACAGAAGAGAGGGCTAGTGCCCACTTGGGACTGAGCAATGTATTGAAATGCTTCACATGACCTAATTACAGTTCTGTTGCAGAGATTTCGGAGTGAATATGTTATGTGTTCATGAAGGCAATATGTCTTTCTCCTTCAAGAACTATTTTTCTTCCATTGTAACCTAAATTTAAAACTGAATTTTTTTAAACTTAAATCTATGTAGATTGCTTTATACGATCTCTTTTTTAACCTATCTAGAATCAAATCTCATTTGGCTCACATAAATAAAGTAGAATGATAGCTAATCTAAAAAAGAGCATTTAGACCGGGTATTATAAGGAAGTGTTGAATCACTGCATTGTACACCTGAAACTAATATTACACTCTATGTCAACTATAATTCAAATAAAAACTTAAAAAATAAAAAGAATATTTAGGAAATAATACCAGGAAATATACAATTGCCACCACTAGGAATATCAAGAAATACCTATTCTCATTGCTGAGGCAGGAGAGGTACCTGGAATCCCAAGTCTGAACTTGGAACACATTTTTTAGAAGTAATGTTCTACATAGTATGTAAGTTCTATACTGGAGTGAGTACTATAAATTTAACCATAAAAGGATTTCTTAGATTTTTGCAAGGGAAAGTGTGGTTCATAAATTAGCTGAAAAGCAAACTGTACATGGTAATTTGGGGATTATAAAGGTCAGGAAATTTGTCAGATCAACTGAGAAAAATTATCCCTATTGAATAGAATCCTATTCATAAGTGGTTAAATAAGAATTGGTGAAAGGAGGGCGCCTGAGTGGCTCAGTCGATTAAGCCTCCAACTCTTGGTTTTGGCTCAGGTCATAATCTCAGGGGTATGAGATCAAGCCCCCTCCCTTCCCCATTGGGCTCCCCATTCAGTGGGGAGTCTGCTCTGCCTCTCTCCCTCTCCTTCTGCCCCTTCCCCTACGTGTGCAGTCTCTTTCTCTCTCAAATAAATCTTAAAAAAAACAAAATTGGTGAAATGGTTTCCACGATACCCCCCCAAAAATGAAGCAAGAAATACAGTATCTTATTCTAAAATATCTGTAAATCAGCTAAAATGGATGAGGTTTGCTAATTGCCCAGAGTTCTCTGGAGACTGTGATACGTGCTGCAAGAGGACATCCTCAATTCTTGGGAATTTCTACTGTTTTTTAAGCTTTCGTCTTTGTCCTTTAGTCTATGCTTACTGTAGTAAGCTGGTTAACAACTGTTTAAAAGAATTGAAATAGATAATTCATCAATGTTAATAACACAATATTGAGTAAAAATAAAAGGAAATTGTCTAAATATATATAATGTTATGCTATAATGTTATGACAACCATACATCAAATTCATGATAGTGATTTCCATAGGCAAGGATGGGGAGACTTAGGGAAATGTAATGGGGAAAACATGTCATGGATTATTTTAGCTTTTACATAATCCTCCCCCTTGTCCCCTCGGTCTGTTACCTGCAGCCAACTGCAATCCAGAAGCAAATGATCTTCCTTCTGACATATCCTCAGAAGGTCAGTAGTAGCCTAACACTATATCATAATGCCTATGTTATTCACCTCACTTGATCTCATCACACAGGCATCTTATCATCTCACTTCACAAGAAGGGTGAGCACAGTCCATAAGATATTTTGAGAGAAACTATATTCGTACAACAATTACAGTGTATTATAATTGTTCTGTTTTATTATTGTTAATCTCTTACTGTGCCTAATTTATAAATTAAACTTTATCGTAAGTATGTATGTATAGGGAACAACAGTATACATATATAGGGTTCAGTACTATCCATGGTTTCTGGGATCCATGGTGGGGAGTATTGGGACACACATTCCCTAATGGATGAGGGTGGAGGGGAGACTACTGTATAAAATTTTGCTTCTTTTGTTTCATTTTGTTTTAAAAAGGACTTGAAACAAGTATGACCAAAATGTTAACAGTAATTGTTTCTGAGTAGTGAAACACTTGTAATTTATATTCTTTATATGTTTTCTGTTAAAAGCAAACAAAGATAAAAGATAACAAAAGAATAAAAAACTTGAGACAATATAGTACCTATATAAAGAAAACTATATTTATAGTACCTATATAAAGAGCATTAATGAACACATGAATAAAGAGAGATAATATGTTTACGATAAGAACTCTGAATAGTATGGCATAGTCACATTTCCCCAGGTTAATTAAGAAGTATCATATAATGCCACTAATAATCCAAATTAGATCTTAATAAATGTAAATGTTTGGTGGTTCAGTGGTTAAACTCAATGAACAGGGCGCCTGGGTGGCTCAGTCGTTAGACGTCTGCCTTCCGCTCAGGTCATGATCCCAGGGTCCTGGGATCGAGCCCCACATCGGGCTCCCTGCTCAGCGGGGAGTCTGCTTCTCCCTCTCCTACTCCCTCTGCTTGTGTTCCTGCTCTTGCTGTCTCTGTCTCTGTCAAATAAATAAATAAAATCTTTAAAAAAAAAAAAACAAAACTCAATGAACATATATATTTACATATATAATTGGTTTGTAAAAAGCAAAGACTGGATAAAAATACTTGAGAACTTTAGTCATGATTATTGCTCAATGGTGGTATTACAGGTTTTTATTTCGAATTATTTTTTGTATTACCCAAATTTTTAAAATTGTAAGATGGTTTGTCATTATAGTATGGTGCCTTTATTTTAGAATAATAAGGTTGCATGAGCCTTGGCATTCCACTTTCTAGCTTATAAAAGACTTGTGAAACAGTAGTTTGAGGTCCATGATAGTGGAGCACACAGACCTTTTTAACTTCAGTAATCAAAGTGAAACAGGAAGATTGAATTAAATGATTATCATATATATTTGTTTATAGGCATTTAGGATTTCCCAAGAGTATAACAGCCAACTTAACTTGATTTTCTTCTTTTCAAAGCCATATGAAGGATTAAGGCCTCAGGATCTTCGTAGATTGAAAGATATGCTTATTGTGGAGACTGCAGACATGCTTCAGGCTCCACTGTTTACTGCTGAAGCTTTACTTCGAGCTCATGGTAATGAAAAATGTCTTATGCTTCTGATAACATGAGTGCCTTTTGAAACTTTTCAGAGTTAAAATATGGCTATTTTACTATTTCAATATAAAACAAAATAGTTTGTTAAACAAGCCTAAATTGTTTTTTGTGTAGTGGTTACTGCGGTACCCAGCATCCTCAGAACATTCTGTATTTTGGAGTGTGAATTGGCTATAAATCATAGAGGAGAAATAGGAAATTTGTGTTTAAAAACCAAGCTACTAAATGATCTTATGGATTGTCTAATTTTAGAAATGTGCCTGACTTAAGCGGGGTTGAAAGTTGGAATCCATAGTCCTAATCCTAGTTTTAACATTCATTTTTACTAAAGTCAATTAAATACCTAACAGTTGTGTTATTAGTACTGTCAGTTATATTCATTTTATATAAAAGCTGTTTCTCACCATGAAGTGTACAAAGCGAAATTATGGAGTCAATACAAGAATGTACTATTCCTTTTAAGTTTTTTTTGCGAGGGGGGGTTGTTGTTGTTGTTGTTTTAAGGACATTAACAACTTTACTTAGGAAAACTACTCAGCTTGTTTTAAGTTCTCTGTGATACTTAAGGCAGCCATTCTGGTAGTTGTCACATGCTGAATTGGACCCTGTCATTGCACAGTTCGTATGTGATATTTTGGGTGGTTTCAAAGATAAGTTTTTTCTGATTTAAAAATTATTTTTAAAAAGAGAAAGGTAAATGTCTCTTCTGCCTGGTTTACCTGTCTATTTGAACTATAAGTCTGTCACCTATACTAAAATAGAATGTCGGGGCGCATGGGTGACTCAGTCATTAAGCGTCTACTTTCAGCTCAGGTCATGGTCCCAGGGTCCTGGGATTGAGCCCCGCATCGGGCTCCCTGCTCGGCCGGGAGCCTGCTTCTCCCTCCCCCATTCCCCCTGCTTGTGTTCCCTCTCTCGCTGTGTCTCTCTCTGTCAAATAAATAAAATCTTTAAAAAATAATAATAATTTAAAATAAAATAAAATAGAATGTCAACTTCTAAAATTTTTTATATAATTGTTTGATCAGAAGAAAATTTAAAATTCCATATTTCATCATCCCTTGGTCATCACTGTGAATAATTTGATATATAACTTTCTAGAATCCCTACCTCAAATATCAAATATTGATATTTCCCAGGGTTCTGTACTTGAGATTATTTCCACTTTATATACCAGTGGCTCGTAAATTTTAGTATAAATAAGGATTACCTGAGAAACTAACCGGAGAGTCCTAGACTATTTCTGGAGAGTCTAGGTCATTAGGTGAGGGGTGAGGCTTAAAAATACAAGTTGTAAAGACGCCTACAAGTGGACCAGTCTCAGAGAAGCATTGCTATACACATTTATCTATTGAAACCAAAGGTTTCAAAAATCATCCAAACAATAAAGTATATCTACAACCTGACTTTAATAAAGTATTTGAGGTTGGGTTTCTAAATGTCTGTTTAACATTTTTTCCTCAATCTAAGGATGTCCACACCTAAACTCCTCTTTTCTCCCACTGTCTTGATGCACGAGCGTCACATTCATCAAACTACCCTGCCAGAAATGTGAAAGTCATACTTCACTCCTCCGTGCTTGTTACATTTGGCCACGGTCTCATCATTTCTTAAGTGTCTCTCATCTTCCCATCCCCGGCTCCAGCTCCCTCTCCAGCTCTTTCCATTCCCATTGCCACTGAGTTAAATTCAGGCTGTCATTAGTTTCCATCTAAATCATAGTCTCCTGAGTCGTGGTCTCCGGTGTTGTCATTCTTCTTTTACCCTATTAATTTTTCATATTGCCATTAGACTGTTCTTTTAAAATGCACATTGGAGCATGTCACTCCCTCGCTGAAAAACCCTTCACTACCTTTCCACAGACTTAAAACCATCTAAACTCTTTAGTAGACCTTCATGACCCAGATTTCTTTACCTGGGCTGTCATCTCCCCCTTTCTTTAATTACCCACTCTTGCTTGTCCTTAGTAACCACATCTTCCAGGAAACCTTTTCTGCTTATGTGTTCCCAAGTCTGCACTGAGACCCTTCCTGTCTATTCCTACTACATCCTGTGTCATACAGTTAGAATACAGTTTTATAGTAATCTCTTTATTTGCTTTTCCTCTAGATTAACCTGGGAGGTCTTAGAGGGAAGCTTTTAATGTTTTTTGTTTCCACAGTACCTGACATACATTAAGCTCTCAGAAAAAGGTTATAGAATGAATAATATATAATAAATAATATACCTGAAGTGTTATTTATATATACGTTACTCCTGCACACATTCCATTGTCCAGAATTCAGTCAGTTGGCCACACTTAACTGCAAGCAACAGTTCTACACTGAAGCATTTTTTGTATACTTATAACCATTTCTGGGTAATGTATCATAACTCTGAGTAACAATATATAGAGAATCTAAGTTATATGAAGTATCACAGTCTAAGTTACAATATATAAAGAATCTAATCTAACTTTACCAAAAATTTTTTAAAGGAACATTTTCATCTCTATTTGTTTACATTGTGTCATCAAGTATTATTAAATGATCAATTCCAGGGGCACCTGGATGGCTCTGTTAAGTGTCCAACTCTTGATTTGGCTCAGGTATGATCTCAGGGTTGAAAGATCAAGCCCCACGTCAAGTTCCATGCTGAGCATGGAGCCTGCTTAAGATTCACTCTCTCTCCCCCTCTGACCCTCCCTGCCTAAAAAAATTATCAACTCCATTTTTACTCCATTGATATTTTCCTCAGTTACTTCTTTTACATAATAGGGGTCAGTTCTAATAAGGTGATAATCTAATTGAATTTTCTTATTTGGTATTATCTATTCTGTGATAACTTTTTTGATAACTTACTTAATAGGTCTATATTTCATTTCCCTATTTAGGCATAAAATAGAGGCTAGCAGGTTTTCAAATGGACATCTCTTCTATACTATTTGGATAATACCAGTAACAGTGACATTTGATAATCAAATAAGATAGAGATAACTGATGTTAGTGAATAAAATAGTGCACAGAACTACAATTTCTACTAATTGCTCTCAAAACAGGGATAGGCTGTGTTTCAGAGTTATTAACTGAACTACTTAGAAGATTTATAGATTATATCCTGGGTAACATTCACTCAGCTTTACACAGGAAAGTAGATTTGAGTATTATATATTATCTGTTGTCAAATGTAGTCCCAAGGTAATGAAGTTGATCTAGATTAAGCAGAAGACAGAAATGTTTGGCAGTATTTACTGAGCAGTAATTGAATTTTAAGGAAGACTCTGTTAGGAATACAGAGGTCATTCTCTGAGTATTTCCTCAGTAATACAAGTAACATAATGGAATGCTACCTAATAAGAAAATAAGTAAAATTTACAAAATACGAGACCAAAGGTAATTTGCTTATGCTTAGAATTAATTTATATTGAAGTATTCTTTAAGCTCCTTTGAAGACTCATCATCTTCTCTAGGTAGTTAAACATCAGTGGTCTATATCTTCTCACTCTGCTCTCTTCCTGGGAAATGATATCTTCTTCCAAGGTTTCTATAGGTAAAGATTTCTCCCTCTGGACTAGACTTCTTTTCTTAGCTCCGCACCCTTGTATATAACTGCCTTTTTTTTTTTTAAGATTTTATTTATTTATTTGACAGAGAGAGAGAGACACAGCGAGAGAGGGAACACAAGCAGGGGGAGTGGGAGAGGGAGAAGCAGGCTTCCTGCAGAGAAGGGAGCCCCATGCGGGGCTCGATCCCAGGACCCTGGGATCATGACCTGAGCCAAAGGCAGACGCCTAATGACTGAGCCACCCAGGCGCCCCTATAACTGCCTATTTTAAAGCATCTCTAGGATATCTCAAAAGCATCTTAAACTCATTATGTCTGAAACTAAAATCATGCTCTTCCATCTGTACCTGATTCTTTGGTATTCCCTATTTACATAAATGGCACGAACCAACCAGGTGGGTAAACCTGGGACACCAACCTTGATATATCCTGTCCTTCAGACTCTATGTCCTATTGTCGCCAAATTGTCACTTCCACCTTCCATGTGTTAAACTCCTCTCTTTCTCTATCTCCACTACAACCAACCACCTACTTCTAGCTTCCATCATCTCTCACTTATACTACCCATTCCCCTCCTATTTGGACTGTGTTCCCTCTACTCCTGCCCTATCTAGTTTCTTTGTTTGTTGTAGTCAGAATGATCTTTTCAAATCTGATCGTGACAACCTGTCCTTCCTAACCCCAAACTCAGCTGCTCAGTGACTTCCTATCACTCCTGAGCTGATGATGGAAGTGTTATTAAAAAGTCCTGCATGATCTAGCCCCTGCCTATTTTTTCAGCCTCATCTCATGCAGTGCTTTCCTTCTGCTGTCCGTGCTACAGCTACATTGACCTTTTTAACTTCACAAGGATGCCATCTTCCCTCCTACCACAGGGACTTTGAACATGCTGTGCATTGCCTGTCTAGAATGTCTTTCCCCCTCCCTTTTACTACTTAACTCCCACTCATCTTTCATTTGTCCACTTCAAGCTATTTCTCCAGAGTCAGACCTTCTCTGACTTGGGATTCTCTACCTGTCCTTCATGGCACCCTGACAGTGATGATTCTTTTACTTAACGTCTTTCTCCTTGCTAGACTGTAAGTTTCATGAAGGCAGGAATCTGCCTGATTTTTCCTCCCATTGTATCCCTACTGCCTGACACAGTGCATGGCACATAAAAGACATTCAGTAAATATTTGCTAAGTGAATGATGTGATAGAATCCAAGCAAAAGTTGTGCTGAAAAATATTTATAGTAAATAAGATTAAAATTTAACATATTTAGTATCTGTTTATAGAAATTATAGTAGTTCTTTTTTTCCTTTATTAAACAGTGATATAATGGATACTTTTGAAGAATAATCTTACTGTGCTAAGAAAAGTAATTTTAACTTTTTAAGTAAGTAATGACATATCAAAACACTAACATCCAGGACACATGGGTGGCTCAGTCATTAAGCGTCTACCTTCAGCTCAGGTCATGATCCCAGGGTCCTGGGATCAAGCCCTGCATCAGGCTCCCTGCTCCGCGGGAAGCCTGCTTCTCCCTCTCCCACTCCCCCTGCTTGTGTTCCCTCTCTCACTGTGTCTCTCTCTGTCAAATAAATAAATTAAATATTAAAAAAAAAAAAAAACTAACATCCATGTAGCAGCATTTCCTGGAATGCACCCATGCAGTTTTTTTCACTTGTTGGATTTTTTTCCTCTTTGTAATCTGACCCCTTTCCCAATCTTATTTCCCATCTTGTCAAACGACAACATGGTATGCTGTAACTTTACAGAAATGCTCACGTCTCTTCTTTATATTTCTGTGCCCTGCTCATATGGTTTACACAGCTGGAAATATACTCGTTCTACCTGTATTGCATGTCTAAATCATAGTCTGCTAAACCACCAAATACACTGATTTAATATGGTTGAGAAAAGTCTTGCATAGAACATTTCCACAGCTATTTGTATTAGAGATGTAAAATTGTATAGAATGGGCCTATGTTGAATAATTGACTCTATACTACTCATGACCCTATACTTCATTGTGCTACAGTGGAAAGAAAACAAGTTTTAGAAGCACAGAAATTGGTTTTAAATCCCTCACTATCTGTGTGAGCCTAGGCAAGTTATAGAATTTTCCTGAGTCCTCATTTCTTCACCTAAATAATGATTGAAACATTTGTTGGGAGGAACAAATGAAATAATGTATGTAAAACAGCAAAATAATTGGATGTATTTATTTATTATTTTTAATGGGTTAGGTTTTTATGGCTCTGAACTATGTAACAACATGCATCACTTGTCTATTTTAAAAGTGTTCATATTAGGAAGATCATCTTTTTTAGTTAAGTCAGATGTGAACTCACTTAATACAGAATGTATACCTAATGCACTAAAACTTTATAACCATAATCCCTTCAGAAGTTTCTTCTGCTCTCAAGCTGTTTATCAAATGATTTTTGGACTCGTTGGCATTTTGATGTGTTTATAGTAAGCTATGTAATCATTTTACAACTTGACACCAGTGAAACAAATTGCAAATTTTACATATTTTTCTTGAAAAGAGTAAAATGGCTAAGTCAAATCTATGCCATGAAAAATTTAGTAACTTCCAGAAGTGATGTGTGAGGCACCTCTTTTGATTATTAGTAGAAATGACTGGAAGTTTTGACAATATTTTAGATATTGACACAGTTGTAAGTCACAGTAGATTATAAAAGTTTAAATTCTGTTTTAAAATATTCGGGGGTGCCTGGGTGGCTCAGTCGTTAAGCGTCTGCCTTCGGCTCAGGTCATGATCCCAGCGTCCTGGGATCGAGTCCCTCATTGGGCTCCCTGCTCAGCGGGAAGCCTGCTTCTCCCTCTCTCACTCCCCCTGCTTGTGTCCCCTCTCTCACTGTGTCTCTCTCTGTCAAATGAATAAATAAAATCTTTAAAAAAATAATAATAAAAATTCAGGGTGGAGCACCTGGGTGGCTTAATCGTTGAGCGTCTGCCTTCAGCTCAGGTCACGATCTCAGGGTCCTGGGATCAAGCCCTGCATCAGGCTCCACACTTTGCAAGAAGCCTGCTTCTCCCTCTCCCACTCCCCCTGCTTGTGTTCGCTCTGTCACCATATCTCTCTCTGTCAAATAAATAAATAAAAATCTTTAAAAAAAAAATATTCAGGGTTTGGGGTACTTGGGTGGCTCAGTCAGTTAGGCATCCAACTCTTGATCTCACCTAAGGTCTCAATCTCAGGGTCATGAGTTCGAGGCCTGTGTTAGGCACCACGCTGGGCATAGAGCCTACTTTAAATAAATAAGTAAATAAAAATAAATATATATTTACTTATTTATTAATGGATATAATATACCTGAATATTCATTTGTAATTACTAATTTGGTATAAATAATTTTCCTTCCTTTAGGTGGCCTATATCTCTTTAATTTATCCTCACTTTATTTTGTTATATGAAACTCTTAAAAAACATCACCATATTTCCTGTTTTTGAGAGATATCATTCCATTTTTCTTAAAGACTGGGATAGGGAGAAATTACTTGAAGCTTGGATGTCCAACCCAGAGAACTGCTGCCAACGATCAGGTGTTCAGATGCCAACTCCACCACCAAGTGGATATAATGCCTGGGACACACTCCCTTCTCCAAGAACTCCAAGGACTACACGCTCTTCTGTCACCTCTCCAGATGAAATAAGTTTATCTCCTGGGGATTTGGACACCAGTTTGGTATGGTCCAATATTCAATGTACTTCCCATAGTTTTGTGTTTAGTCTTTTAACTTTTAAATTACTTAATATTGTTTCATGGAAGGGGCACCTGGCTGGCTCAGTTGGTTAAGCAGCCAACTCTTGGTTTTGCCTTGGGTCACTATCTCAGGGTTGTTAGATTGAGCCCCATGTCAGGCTCTGTGCTGGGTGTGGAGCCTGCTTAAGATTCTCTCACTCTCCCTCTCCTTCTTCCCCTGCCCTTCCCCTTACCCCTGTGCTTTCATTGTCTCAAAATATAGGTATATATATAGTTTCATGGAACCCTTGTAATTGAATCCTATACCCCTCTTAAAGGATTCAGTTATTTCACCCTTTGGTACAAATATTTATTATCACAGAATATTTTTGTTATCTCTGAATTACAGATTGAAAAACAAAGGGTTTTCTTTTCTCATTTCAAAACAGAAAACATAAAAGAGTTTGAGAAAGCCATCTACTATATTTACACTTAAAATCTCTAAGTGCCTAAAGTTTTAAACACACCATACTGAAATATTAAAAGTTGAGTTTGTGATAGGCACCTTAAATTAAAAAAATATGAAAAAATTTTTATGTTTTCTTGAAAACACTTATAATGTATTGATAATTATGTATTTGTTTCAGTTAAGCTTTGGAGTATATCATCTAGATATATTTGTGGAATAAATGTTTGCTTTTTATTGAGAAATAGTACTGCCATTGTCTACATTTTTAATTGGCATACCATTGGTATACTGTTGCAGGAAATTTTGACGTTTCTTTAATGGTTCAGCCACTCAAAATGTGTGATAAAAATGAAAGCATTCTGGGTTTTATCTAGGCCTTCTTGGAAAATAAAATCCAACTTCTCTAATTTGCATCTGTAACATTGGAATGTTTGCTTCTAATAAGTTATTGTTTAGAAGATACATAGTTTTGTAGCAGAGTTCCTTGGGTAGAAATCCTTAAATTCCTACTCTGAATATCTGGGAATTTTTATCTTGAAAACACAAAGTTGCTCTGTTTTTGTAGATTTTCTGGGATGAGAAAAGGCTAAAGAACATGATATTGAAGTGGTTATTTTGCAGTGGACAATTTGATCTTGACCTGAATAGATTTTAATGGTTTGTTTCTTATACTTTTTTTCCCTAAATGCATAGTTGCTGATTAATACATAAATTTGGAATTTAAGAGTTTGACTTGTGCATTAAAACATTTAAGTCCCTTAATAGTTTATAATGAAGTAGGCATGGTATTTGTTATTCAATCAGAAGTAGGCACACTAACTTTAACTTCCCTTATAACTTTGAAACACTTAACTTTATAGTTACTATAGTAGTATTTTTGCCTTAAGCCAGTGAATAAATAAATATATCATTCTCTATCCGAAGTATGACTTTTGTTTAAATCATTGCTTTTCTTCATTTCCAGTGTGACATTTGTATGTGCAGTATTTCTGTATTTGAAGACCCAGTGGATATGCCCTGTGGACATGACTTTTGTAGAGGATGTTGGGAGTCGTGAGTATATGTGCAGCTTAGTATTTCTTACTGCATGATAGCACTCTGATTTGGTAATAAAATTGTCTGCTTTTGATATTTAATGATATGGATTATTCATACTGGTTTCAGAGTTGCGCTAAAATATACTTTTTTTCCTCATTTTTACATCTTCCCATTCAGTAATTAATATTCTTTAGCTTAAATGGAAGGTACTTTTGGTAACAAAGCAGGTATATGGAAGTAAGTTTTCTTAGTATTTAATTTACATTACAACTAATGTAAATTTCAAGCCTACACCTAAGTATTAAGAATAAGGTTTTTTTTATACTCTTAAGAATTTGTAAGCATTGGGGTGCCTGGGTGGCTCAGTCGTTAAGCGTCTGCCCTCAGCTGAGGTCATGATCCCAGGGTCCTGGGATCGAACCCCGCATGGGGCTCCCTGCTCGGCAGGAGGCCTGCTTCTCCCTCTCCCACTCCTCCTGCTTGTGTTCCCTCTCTCACTGTGTCTCTCTCTGTCAAATAAATAAATCTTTAAAAAAAAAAAAAAGAATTTGTAAGCATTTGTTTTATGCTTTCTCTAAATTTTTTTGTGACAACCAAATAAATAGCCTTTGAAATCTATAAGAATACATATAAAATTCCTTTTCAGTCAATTCATAGGTTAATGTCTCTTCTAGACATGGTTGGGTACAAATGGGAAATTTATTTTGTTTCTCATGTTTGTCTCTATTCTCCTTCCCATTATCTTGCCAAGATTTATACTCTTATACCATCCATTAACTTTGCTCTAATGTTGCACTTTTCAAGGGAGGTTTATAAACAAAACAAAGGAGAAGATCAATGTAATTAATGAGCAATACAATATCATGTTATCTCTGGAGCACAAAAGTCTACTGACTAATGACCTAAGCAAAGCATGTCATTAGTAATTAAGGAAATCTTAAAACTCGGAAGATTTCAAACTATTCTTTTCCATGGAGTTTCAGGTACCAAGTGTAGGGAGCTGGGGAATACCATGTTGGGTGAGAGAACAAGAACCTGAGCAAATTTTCTGTTGCTGTCTTAAGCAATTTTGCTGAGTATAATTGACATATAATAAACTAAATATTTAAAATAAATAATTTGATAAGCCTTGACATATGTACACACCCATGAAACCATTACCACAGTCAAAATAATGAATATATCCATTACCCCAAAAGTTTCCTCATTTCTCCTTGAAATCCCTCCCACCCTTCTCTGTCTGCCTCCCTCATCCTCCCACCACCTCCTCCCTCCAATTTTTTAGACAACCACTCATCTTTCTGTCATTCTGGTTTCATTTTGAGTGCATTTTCTTTGTTTTCTAAACCAGGATATGGGGGAAGATTTCATTTGGAGGGGAGAAATATTACTGCTTCTTAAAAAGTCAGAATAAATGAGAATATCTTGTCTTTTTTTTTTTTTTAAGATTTTATTTATTTATTTGACAGAGAGATAGAGAACACAAGTAGGCAGAGAAGCAGGCAGAGGGAGAGGGAGAAGCAGGCTCCCCGCAGAGCAGGGAGCCCGATGTGGGACTTGATCCCAGGACCCTGGGATCATGACCTGAACCGAAGGCAGCCGCTTAACCGACTGAGCCACCCAGGCGCCCCTGTCATTGTTTTTAAAACATAGACTAGACTTTACTCTGAATCTAATTAGATAAGATCAAATCGGTACAGCTGATACAGGTTAAAGTGACTGGCGAGGGGCAGGTTTACAATCCAAAGCTAACTTTGACCTAGTTGTAGATGCAGAAAATTTTCCACAGATGCAGTAGTTTATTTAGCTTAAAATTGTTAACTCTGTTGTATTGGGGAGTATTTTCTGGGTTCTACCAAGTTTGCTACTGTTGACCGTGGTTTCTGTGTGAAAAACTAAGCCTCCCCACGGGATTTACTTGAATTTTTTTGAACTTCCTTTACCTCCCTCACCAAACTTATGTCACAGGAACCATCTCCCATACTCAACACAGACTAGCCATGGGAAGTTTATGGTAAGATTTAAATTTGAAAGATCTAATGATTATTTTCTCTGTTACTTTATCAACCTATCTAGGATTCCCCTCCCATCATCCTGCCCGTAGTTCTTGTCAAATCAAGCAGCAGGAAAACCAAGTTCCAGGTTGGGTGATTTATACATTGATAAAACCATTTTTAAATGAATTGCAGTCCTTTCATAGGCATATAGAAAAGAAACTTCTTTGTTTAAGAAGCAAGGAAAAAACGTTAAAGGTCCTAGATTGTTCAAAAACTCTCAATTTATTTTACTCTTCCCTACTCCGTAATGTCATCAATCCAGCCAGATGCTTTGAAGCATCTACTCCAAGGGCTTAAATGAAAGGGAAATTATTATTTTCTACCCAGCCTAGATTATCCTTCCTGCTACTTATTAGTTGTTGATTTACGTAAGTGGTAACCTCCCTGTGCCTCAATTTCCTTATCTATAAAATGGTGATAATAGTAAGTACCTCATATTGTCAGTATACTGTTAAATGGCTTAATATATGAAAAATATTTAAAATGAACAGGGCCTGGAGCATAGTCACTACTCAATAAATGGTAGTTATTATCCTCTTCCTAAGGATGGCTGACCTACAAGATAAAAACATAGGTAAAGTCTGCCCCAGAGTTCTCTCTGTCAACCTTTTTCCTTGACATGACAAGCTCACTTAATTCATTTTCCAAAAAAGTCTATTATAAACCCAAGTCCAACTAATCATTGTTTGTGGCTGCTATTTCAAATAAAAATAGTGTTCCATGATAAACGCACATAGGTCTACTTGTAGCTTGAACAATTTCCTGAGTGCTTTCCCTCGAGACAACCACCGTGCTTTGGTATGCAGCAGCAGAAGTTCATTATGCTTACCTCCCATTTCTTTGCACAGAATACTCAAAAGATGTGTACTTGTGAGTTAAGATTTAATAAAATAAATCAATAAAATGTATTAATAATTAACCAATAATTCATATTTTTATTACTCCATCAAGGATATTCTTAAGTGAAACTGGCTTTTTTTTCTTTAACTGCAAGTGCAAAGCAGTGAAGAATATAAAGTCTACCAGTATAGTTTTAACACCACTGCCATGATTCATGCTAAGGCACTAGCAGTTTTACCTAAAAAATAAAGCAGTTTTAATACCATTATGAAAATACTTTTGACCTCATAAACCCCGTGAAAAGTCTCAGGTCCACAAATCACATTTTGAGAACTGCTGCTCTATAGTATTTCCCCTGAACACTTCATCCATCTTTATTTCTGCCAAATTGTTTTTCTCGACACAGAGTAATACAGGTCATTTTTCCCTGGTAACTAAGATACAGAATGCCTTTCTGTTGGGATATGTCAGAGTTTTGTGGAGCGTGTGCGGTTTTTAAATCATATTGAAAAATAGAGGGCAAGATTTTAAACATGTTGAATTTTAAATGCATATGAGACACTTAAACAAAAGTATTGTGTGTGGTCAAGATCTGTAGCTAAGGAGGGAGATCTGGGCTTTAAACCTCAGAGTCATTAGTGTATAGGTGGTAGTTTAAGTTGGGACTATTTAGATCACCCAGGAAGAGTGAATGAAATGAGAAAGGGGGAAGAGTTTTGGTGTGAAAACCCTAGAGATCAGTAAAACATAAGTGATCAGGAGAGTAAAAAGCACTAGTGAAAAAGATGAATAAGGAGCAACCAAAGGTAAGAAGAATGCCAGGGGAAAATTAAGTCCCAGAAGCCAGAGAAAAGAGAGAATCTGAAAGAAGGAACTGTTTAGCAGTGTCTAATGCTCCAGAGAATTCAAGGCAGATAAAAACTGAGAAGTCTTGAATTCTTGGGCTAATGGGTAGTCTTAATGGCCTTGTTGAGAGCTGGCTATTCAGTGAAGAGGTGACAAAAGCCAGAGTGTTGCCGATTGAGAAGTGAACGGGATGGACTTGAGGAAGGAATGACAAATCATCAAACTATTTTGTCAAGAAACTGATGTAAAAAGGAAGGGGAGCTAGAAAGGATCATTTAGTTGAGAAATGTTTCAGGGTAGGAGAAAACTTGAGCATATTGATAGTGCCGAAGAAAAGACCCATGAGAGAGACAGACAAACAGAAAGACAGAGACAGAGAGAAAGGATAGGTTTCTGGACTCTGCAAGTTCTGGAGCTGGCCAGAGTACGGATTTGCTTGGGGGGTAAAGAAGGAAGCCTCTTTCACTGAAGTTGAGTAGTGAGAAGGCAAAGATAGCTAAAGACATAGCTAGGTTCAGGGTGTGATAGGGAGGATATTAAGAGAGGTCTCTGTTTTCTTCGAAGTGCCAAGATGAAATTGTCGAAGAAGGTGGAAATGGACCAGAGGGAGCAGATCTGATGAGATCTCAGTTAGCTTGATTTTTTTTTTTTTTAAGTGTAGTTGAATTAAGACACTGAGAGAACCAAAGGAAAAATACTGCAGGTAGAATAATCAAACTGTTGATGGTGATCACTAGAGAATGGTGACTTAGTTGCCTGGTTTTCCATTTATTTTCTCTAGGTTTAAGTGTTAAATCACACTTCAAAAGCTAATTTGTTTCTTGTTTTTCCATGGGGAATAATAATAAAAATAAAGCTCTAGCTAAAATTTATAAATTCTTATTCTATGCCAGGCACCCTGCAGATATTCATACACATTATATCTTATAATCTGTGTAACAATCCCAAGAAGTGCTTATTATTATCTCCATTTTACAGATAGTGAAACTGAGGGGCAGAGCAGGTAAATAAATTGCTGAAGATCATATGACTTGTTAGTGGCAGACCTGGAATTCTCTAACTCAAAATCCTGCTCCTTAACCACTTACTTCACCTTGGGCTAGATTCCTGCCACTCTCCAGGATACCTTTTCCCTACTACCTCAACTAGTGTGCCTAGAGTAGGACATGCACCTTAATACTCGTCTAAATGAAATATAAGGGGATAGTCTTTTCTTCAAAAAGGTATGCTATCTTCCAATGCCACTCCCAAATCTCTTGGATTAGCCATGATTTAATTCTATATAATTGTTTCTTTTTCTCGATAGAATATCGAGAATTGAATATGATCTTTCTAAACCACTCATTTCTGAAATTTTAATGTTAAAGATAATGTTTCAGATTTTTAGAGAGGATAAAGCAAAAGAAGAACATTGTAAAAAAATAATGTGTATATAACAAACACAAGTATATGTGTGTATAAATGAATGAATGAATGGTTGGGCAGGTAGTGAGTGTTCAATAATATTTGTAAATTATATGAATCAGTGTATTACAATTAATATTTCATACTTTGTTCATTGGTTCATTTCTAACAGAAAATTCAGCATAAAGAAAAAGTTCTTAGAATGTGCAAATAAATTATATTCTTCCTTTTTTTCTGTCAATTGATAATTTTAACAGGTTTTTGAATCTAAAAATTCAGGAAGGTGAAGCTCACAACATTTTCTGCCCTGCATATGATTGCTTCCAACTTGTGCCTGTGGATATCATAGAAAGTGTAGTTTCTAAGGAGATGGACAAACGATATCTACAGTTTGATATTAAGGTATGCTGCCAGTTATCTGATTTCATTTTCATTTTAATTTTATTAAACTGTATAACATTTTATTTAATTTTTTGTTTTATTTTTGAAAACACATAGAACAATGACTGACTTTTGTCTCCCAGAAAAACTGCATGAAGGAATGATGGCATTAATTAAAGTTTTAAGCTAAAGCATTATTTTTTTTAAAAGATTTTATTTATTTGAGAGAGAGAGCATGTACGTACATGCGAGTATGGGGAGGGCAGAGAAAGGAGAGAGAGAATCCCAAGCAGGTTCCACGCTCAGCACAGAGCCCAACGTGGGGCTTGATCTCACGACTCTGAGATCATGACCTGAGCCAAAATCAAGAGTCAGACACTTAACTGACTGAGCCACCCAGGCTCCCTAAAGCATTATTTTATGGTCATGATAGATAAAATAAAAATAAAAATAAAAAATTGAAATAGTAATTTACAAAAAAAAAAAACTTGGTCAAAACTATTTACTGATTTGCCTGTTGAACTTTTAAAACTGATCAAGGCAGTGTTCAAAGTAAATAGTACCTATTTGCAGTTTCCCAAAAGGTATATTTTAGACTTCTAAATGTAAATATTCAGAAATAAAGATTATCAACTTGGAATGGGTTTTTTTCAAAAAATAGTTTCATATGATGAATTATAATGTTTCTCTTTTTTTCTATATTTATTTGCATTTAAGAATTGTCCAGGGGCGCCTGGGTGGCTCAGTCGTTAAGCATCTGCCTTCAGCTCAGGTCATGATCCCAGGGTCCTGGGATCGAGCCCCGCATCAGGCTCCCTGCTCAGCGGGAAGCCTGCTTCTCCCTCTCCCACTCTCCCTGCTTGTGTTTCCTCTCTCGCTGTGTCTCTATCAAATAAGTGAAATCTTTAAAAAAAAAAAAAAAAAAAAAAAGAATTGTCCAGAAGTATGCAAGTTACTTTCTTGTGTGGTTTAAAAATTATACTTTGGGAGTGCTTGGGTGGCTCAGTCAGTTAAGTGTCTGACTCTTTTTTTTTTCTTTTTTTTAAGATTTTATTTATTTATTTGAGAGAGAGATAGTGACAGAGATAGCAAGAGAAAGCACAAGCAGGGAGGAGAGGGAGAAGCAGGCTCCTGCTGAGCAGGGAGCCCAACGCAGGGCTCAATCCCAGGACCCTGGGATCATCATGACCTGATCTAAAGGCAGACACTTAACTGACTGAGCCACCCAGGCGCCCTGGGTGTCCGACTCTGGATTTCAGCTCAGGTCATGATCTGTGGGTCGTGGGATTGAGCCCCATGTTGGGTTCTGTGCTCAGTGGGAAGTCTGCTTAAGATTTTCTCTCTCCCGGGGCGCCTGGGTGGCTCAGATGGTTGGGCATCTGCCTTCAGCTCGGGTCGTGATCCCAGGGTCCTGGGATCGAGCCCCGCATCGGGCTCCTGGCTCGGCAGGGAGCCTGCTTCTCCCTCTCCCTCTGCCTCTGCCTCTCCCCCTGCTCATGCTCTCTATCTCTGTGTCTCAAGTGAATAAATAAAATCTTTAAAAAAAAAAAAAAAAGATTTTCTCTCCCTCTGCCTTTGCCCCTCCCGCCATAGGCATGCACACTTGCTCTCTGTCTCTAAAAAAAAAAAAAGTGCAGATTTTTTTTGTAGTCTAAGCCATATGACATACAGACTTTTCCAAAAGATGTCCTGCTGTTTTGTAACGAAGCATCATAATCCTGATTTTTATGTATTATTGGGGTGCCATTTAGAAATTTACAGTACCAATGCAACTAATAATCATATAATTATTTTCCATCAGAAAAGCAGCACATTGTATGAGAAAACATTTTTAAATTACACATTTTCTGTGTGAATAATTGCATTTTTACTTCATCATCTACCTGGTTTTTAGATTAAAGAAAACATAAATTTAAAAAGTCACATTGTTACTAAGGTAATTACCTCTTTTTTCCTTCTTACTAAGTTCCATACTTTCTGGTACTATTTTAAGTATCTCTTGAGACTGATTATTCCTTTTTTTTTTAGTTCACCCTTTTTTCCCCTCTAAAGTAAATTGACATGGGATCACTCAGAATTAAGAGTTCAAATAGTTCTGTTGTATTTTATTATTGCTGTTTCAACAGGCCTTCGTTGAAAATAATCCTGCCATTAAATGGTGTCCTACTCCAGGCTGTGAAAGAGCAGTCAGACTTACAAAACAAGGGTCAAATACATCTGGGTCTGATACACTCAACTTTCCCTTGCTCAGAGCTCCTGCTGTGGACTGTGGAAAAGGACACCTCTTCTGCTGGTCAGTATAAGACAAGTTGGAATCAGCCTAATCACCTAACAGTTTTTAAAGAGACTTTGCACCTTGAATTAGGCCTTTGGAGTGTAGTATATTTGACATCATTCTTATTAATTTAAAAAATGTGTGATGAGTAGTCATAATTTATATTTATTGTGTGCTTGATTTGTACCAAATTTGTATGCCAGATATTTTCACATATTGAATTCTCCCAATAACTCTATGAGTTGAGTGTTATTATTATACCCATTTTACAGATAAAGAAACTTAGGCATAGAGAAGTTTCCCAGGGTTATGCAGCTAAGAAATGGCAGAAATGGGATTAGAGCCCAGCCTTGATTCCAGAGCCCATGCACTTAAACTCTAGTAACAAATTGCTGAGAATAGATTAGAACATGTTTAGAACTTTATACTTGTTTTCTTAAAATTGAAGACTCCGGCAGTGATTCTTTTTTTTTTTTTTTTTTTTTTTTTAAGATTTTATTTATTTATTTTGAGAGAGAGAGAATGAGAGAGAACACATGAGAGGGGATAGGGCCAGAGGGCAAAGCAGACTCCCTGCCGAGCAGGGAGCCCGATGCGGGACTCGATCCAGGGACTCCAGGATCATGACCTGAGCCGAAGGCAGTTGCTTAACCAACTGAGCCACCCAGGCGCCCTCCGGCAGTGATTCTTAACCATGGATGCCCAGAATTAACTAAGACCCGTTTTCCCAAATTTTGATCATAGGCCCCAACAAGTAAGATTTTGATTTAGTAGGCTTTGGAGTAGGGCCCCCAAAAAGAAGCTTATAGGTGGTTCTAATGCACAGTCCTAGTTAAGAATCACTTTGTGTGTCTTGTGTTTTTTAACTATATGTCTGACATCAGCATTTAACTGTATGTCTGACTATCAGCATTCTGCATTATTCAGAGTAGATTCAATGATAATTAGCTGTTGTTGTTTATTTAGGTAATTAAATGATCAGAAAAAGAAATAGTATTTGTTCTCCTTTTTTCTCATTTCCAGATTTATCACGTATGCAAGGGTATGCCTTAGATGAATATAAGACTCTACTTATTTACTTATCAGAAACCAAAGTCAAATTATAGCACTGCTAAATAGTTTTAAAAAGGCATAGTTATGGAAATATTCCTACCCTGAAAGGTCTATTTCTTACCCTCGTCATCATTATCATTAGCTAAAAATATTTCTTGAATTGCCAGGCTATGTATAGCACTGAACTCTCTAGGTCAGGTGTCAGAAAACTACTGTCCCCACCAATTTTTATTGGAACATAGCCACACCCGTTCATGCCAGTTTATTTTCTGTGACTGCTTTCAGGCCATGGCAGCATTACATAGTTCCGACAGAAACCATATGGCCTACAAAACCCAAAATATTTGCCATTTGGTTCTTTACAGAAAAAGTTTGCTAGACTCCTCTGCCAAGTGCTTGAATGAAGTGATTAATGAAAGGAAAATCATATTGGCTACTTTGATGGCTAAATCAGACTCAGCAAGGAAAATAGCAACAGAATATTGAATAATAGATTATATCCACATGCCTTATAGTAATTTTTCAAAACATTTACAAGACAGATTCATAATTTTTAGTTTTACATGTTTTACTATTTGCTGATTGGTTCTTAACTCCACCTCACTACCTCACTAGAAGAGTTCAGGATCCAGCTCAAGAGTGACAAGTGAGTTAATGAATACACATAAGCTTAATTTTTCATAAATAAATAGTCCTTAGAGGAATATGAACCCACTTTACTATAACATAAGAATACTACAGTAAAAAAAAATAAAGGAGCAAATAAATAAAATCTTTAAAATAAATAAATAAATAAAGGAGCTTCCTCTTTTGAGTTAGTGTGGAGTTTCTTCAAAAACTTAAGCTCATGTGCCCTAAGGTACCCCACTGTGTGCACCCTGTGCATCTAAGATGGTACTAATCAGAGGTGCCTAGGCGGCTCAATCAGTTAAGTGACTGACTTTGGCTCAGGTCACAATCTCAGGGTCCTGGGATGGAGTCCTGTGTCATAGGCTCCATGCTCAGTGGGGAGTCTGCTTGCCCTGTCCCCCCCGCTTGTGCACGCTCTCTCTCTCTCTCTCGTTTTCTCTCAGGTAAAGAAATAAAATCTTTATTTAAAAAAAAAGCCTGAGGGCGCCTGGGTGGCTCAGTTGGTTAAGCGACTGCCTTTGGCTCAGGTCATGATCCTGGAGTGTCTGGATCAAGTCCCGCATCAGGCTCCCTGCTCGGCAGGGAGTCTGCTTTGCCCTCTGACCCTCCCCCCTCTCATGTGTTCTCTTTCATTCTCTCTCTCTCAAATAAATAAATAAAATCTTTAAAAAAATTTAAAAAAATTTAAAAATTTTAAAAAGCCTGAAAGGGGGTGCCTGAGTGGCTCAGTCAGTTAAGCATCTGCCTTCCACTCCCATCATGATCCCGGAGTCCCCAGATCCAGCCCTGCCTGGGGCTCCCTGCTCAGCAGGAAGTCTGCTTCTCCCTCTGCCCTTTACCCTGCATGTACTCTCTCTAGCTCTCTCTCAAATAAATGAATAAAATCTTCAAAAAATAAAAAATAAATTTAAGAAGCCTAAAAAGTAAATAAAATAAAATGGTACTAATCATGTATTATCCTTGGGAAAATTTAGAAAAGTTATCACATAAATCGATTTCTGAGTTCTCTGTTCATGTAAACATCCTGATTGAAAAAGGCTAATTTAAGAGGATTGGTGGAGAAGCTACAAAAATAGAAAATATAAATATAAATTAGTAAAACACTTAGAAGATAAGGAGAAGAAAGCATTTGCTAAGATCAGAGAATAATAAAGTTTTGAAGGGAAAAGAAGAACCTGTGATTAGCATTGTCTTCTTAAGCTCTGTGGTTTCTATGGTCTGGCTTTTACTAGTTTTTACTACAGATGAGCTTTCAATTTTTTTCACTTTTCACTTATTACTATAAGGCATGTGGATATAATCAATTATTCAAAGGTATTCTTCCCTACCTTTGTGCATTACAAGTAATAAGTTTGGTTTGACTAAACATGACAAAACTAGTGGAAAAACCTACCAATATAGGTTAGACTCTAAAAGCTATATGAATGAGTCTATAAATATATATGGTGCTATAAATGTACATTTCTAGACCAATGTTTGGAGAAATATATTCACTTATTTTTTCTCACACCCCAAAATATCGGGCTGGTTATACTCAAGATTCACTGGAGATGATATATCAAGACCACAGGCCCTCTTTTGACTTTTATCCCAGTTCAGGGGATCTATGAATGGCCACATGGATTCAAGGTCACATTTGGTAATTATTTACTCTTTCTCCTGTTCATAAGGGTAGTAGAGAGCTTAGCAAATAAAACCATCATTTACTGGACATAACAATTCTAGTTCTAATTCTAAATCCTATTCTAGGATTTTTACATTGCCTGCTTTAACTCTCTAGGCATTAATTTGCAGTCTCTGTTTTTAAAAACATTCTTATCTTCCTACTCTTATTCATATAGTATAAGAGCTTTGCCTATAATCAGAAATTTCTTTTTTTTTTTTTTAAAGATTTTATTTATTTATTTGGCAGAGAGAGACAGCGAGAGAGGGAACACAAGTAGGGGGAGAGGGAGAGGGAGAAGCAGGCTTCCCGCCGAGCACGGAACCTCATGCGGGGCTCGATCCCAGGACCCTGGGATCATGACCTGAGCCGAAGGCAGACGCTTAACGACTGAGCCACCCAGGCGCCCCTATAATCAGAAATTTCTAAAAATTAAAAAAAAGAAATTCTAGGAATTCTGCTGCCCTTATCTACTATTTCAAAGAGAGGCAAAATCTGTATGCAAAAGGAGGCTTTATAAGAGATATCTTCATAAAATAAAGGCATATGATTCTGGGGTTTGCTTCTTTCTTTCTCCAGAAAGCTCAGAACTATTCTCTAAAGATGATTACAAAAAACACAAGAAAAGGCAATAATAGTTCTTTCTTTTTAAGAGCTGCGTGCTATGTGTGCCTGGATATAACTGAACGTATTTATTGATAGGAGGGAAGGTAGGAGTAGACATTCCCCTTCCCACCACAGTATAGCCCTTTCTCTTTTTTTTTTTTTTAAAGATTTTATTTATTTATTTGAAAGAGAGAGAGCGAGAGAGAGAACACAAGCGGGAGGAGTGGGAGAGGGAGAAGCAGGCTTCCCGTGGAGCAGGGAGCCCAATGTGGGGCTCGATCCCAGGACCCTGGGATCATGACCTGAGCCGAAGGCAGACGCTTAACAACTGAGCCACCCAGGCGCCTCTATAGCCCTTTCTCTTGTAACTTGTTCACCCACCACTTCTGTGCCTTTATTAACTAAACCTAGAATGTTTTCTCCCCCTAGCCTATATAATTATATTTTGTCTGATTTGACAATATTGTCCCTGGACAGTGTTCATAACTTGAGCCAATGACCATCTCCCCTCTGTTTTTATTAAGTAGAATATGCTATTGTGTAACATCTGTGCCCTCTGAACAAACACAGTCTTTCTTTTCTGAGGCATCTCTTTAAAGATTTGCTCTTGGGGGTGCTTAGGTGGCTCAGTTGGTTAAGCATTCGACTTTTGATTTTTGCTCAGGTCATGATCTCAGGGTCCTGGGATCAAGGCCCACATCAGACTCTGCACTCAGCGCAGAGTCTGCTGGTCCCTCTCCCTCTGCCCCTCCCCCCGTTTGTACTTTCTATCTCTAAAATAAATAAAATCCTTTTAAAAATAAAAAATAAAGATTTGTTGTCAAAAATGCTTCTTCATACCACCCAAATTCTAATCTAATCTAATCTGAGGAAAAGAACTCAAATTTAACCTTATGTATAGTGGTCATTTCTCTCCTGTTTCGCCTCATAGTGTCCCCAGTCCCTTTAATCTCTAGCGTTGCCACTGCAAATGGAGAGACTTAAATGGAATTCATCTCTTCTAAATCCATAGACAGTCAAATATAAGAGTTATTCAATAAAATTGACTGGCATGAATATTCTAAAC